AGTAGTTTTTGGAGCACATACTTTTTCACTTTTACTTGAGTAAAGAGGTCAAGTTGATACTTCAACTTCTACAAGAGTATTTTTAAACTGCAGTATCTATACTTCTACTTAAGTAACAAATGTGGGTACTTTTGACACCCCTTACACTCAGGCAGTTCCTTAGTATTTACTGTGCAATGGAGAACAGAATCAAAATGAGGAGGAACCCAATGAGAATATGCACAAGTCCTAGCTGTTTGAATGTTTGTATGCTTCATCTTCACCTACTGAATGAGTTTTCTCCTAAATACAATACATTGATACACTAACATTCAAGCACTAAACTAGTTTCCCCTGTAATTTCTGCATAGTGTTATCTAAAAGCTTGAAATAACTTCATCATGAAAGTTGTGGTAGAAAGTGTTAGATAGCGCTATCACTGCTACCATCTTTAGCCTGTGTGACTGGTTGGAAACATATACATAACAAACTACCTTAAATCAAACGTATTTTTATTTTTTACACCCTTTGTTATGGTGTGTCATATCTGGTTAGCATTACATCAGAGTTTAAATAGATTTTTTTTTGCAGATTTAGTGTAACACATTTCTAAAGGTTTGCATGCCAAACATTTTCTTGCAGGTTGTTCTCCAAATTGTATTTTGTTTATTTAAGAAATTTGAGTAGAAACAATATTCACATTTTTATAAATAGTATTACATGTAGATTTAATTTGTAAACCAAAGAGTTTTTTAATGACAGTTAAGTTTGTATACAAATAATAAATTAAAAGAACAAATTTTATGTTTGAAGAACAATCATATTTATTAACATTTCAATAACAATATCACAAATATAAGGAATGGAAATATATTCATAAACATCATAATTTTAGTGGAGTCAAAACCAAAAATACATTTAGTAGAAAAGGTCAATCCAAACGTATTACCGGATAAAGTTTAGTAAGTATAGTAAAATATTTTAAAAAATGAGTGAAGAAAAAAGATAGAGATATTTTGTAAGAATAGTTTTAAAATAGTTTACAGCACTGTCTTACTATAAGTTTACATTGTATTTTTTTTAACAGGAAATGGTTAGATTGGACAGAAGATTTGCTTATACAATCATTTGGTCATACAATACAGATTTTATTGTAGCAGGATTCAGAAATGCAAAAATAAAACATGCAGTTATACAATGCACAGATTATTCGTTATCCCATTTCAGCCTTTACTGGGTATGTTGTACAATCATTCCCTTGTTTATAAAGGCCCTGCTGGAGTATAGCATCGAACAGAATCACAGAATTGTTTTCTCTTTGGAGTTCCTGTAAAGATTAGAGAAGAAAACATGATTAGATAGTGAGCTAAAAAGACAAAATACGCTTAAGCTTCACTTACTGTCTTTCTTCTTTGCTTTGCAGCACAGGCATCTCTTCACAGCCTCTTGCTCTGTATCACTTAAGACTGGAAGTGGATAGTGACAATTCATTTTGCTGAGCCCAATAACTGAAATGACAAAGATGGTTATATAGATGTTTCATACCGAGTTTGCAAAAAAACAAAACTCAAAAAGAACCCCCCCCCCCCCCCAAAAAAAAAAAACACACACACAAAAAAAAAACTGTTTAATACCTTAAAGCAGGGGTGTCAAAGTGGTTTTCAGTCCAATCTGAACATGATGACTTGATGAGATGAATGGAGTCTGGTGTGCTTTTGCTTGGTTGGAAAGAAAGCCTGCAGCCGCATGGCCCTTTCTGGAACCACTTTGACACCCCTGCTTTAAGGTATTAAACA